CCCCCAGGTATCCCAAGTACCCCAAACACACACATACATACATACCGTACCATCCAAGTTAGGAACTCACCTGTTTGCATATGTAGGTGGGTGGTGTGTGTGAACTGGTGAATCACTCTATCACTGTGTGTGTGATATATCAAGTAGTGATTCGTGTATGTGTAATGGGTGTGCGGGTATTGACAGCTGATTTTTGTCTAACTTTTGGTATGTATACTGTGTATGAGCTTGAATTGGTACTAGGTGTGTATGTACCTAGGTTGGTAATTCTGGATATGTATGCGTGTGTCTGAGTTGGTAATGTATGGGTGTATGCACCTAGTGTGTATGTATGCACCTAACTGATCAACTGATTTGTGTGTTTGTATATGTGCAATTGTACACCACGTCTTCCTGTCTAACAGCACGATATTGAGATCCTGAGAGCTGGCCTGACCCCACAGGGCAACACTGTGACCCCCCGTCTCCATGCATCTGGCCTCTTTGAGGGTCTCCTTAAAGCCCCGCCATAAAGTCCAGTGCTCCTCAGTCATATAAAATGGTACAACCATGAAATCTCCCGTGCTCAACTGCCCCACTGCAACAGTCTCTGCACTTACTTCTACATTCCCTTGCTGCAGCCTTTGAAAGCAGCATGGCGCCATGTGCACCCCGCCACTGGGCAGACCAGGCAGCGAAGAGGCACATGGCATCGAGGCTTGGGGCAAAGCTCGCCCGAAGGGGCTGGGGAGCGGAGCAGTTCCCTGGAGCCAGGGGAGCCCACGTGGTGCCCGGCTCTGCCCCAGCCCCAATAGCCACTCCCACCTCGCCTCAGGGAGGAGCCGCTGCCTGTCCCACACCGCTCTCCCTCCCCATGGGGATGCCGGTGCGGTGAGAAGTGGAGCTGAGCGGAGTGGCCCCCTGCACAGCTGAAGTAACTTACTGCCGGCAAGAGTCCCATGCCGGCCCCAGTGCCTCCACCCCGAGCTGCACTCTGGGGGCAGCACCTAAAGCTTCCAGGAAGCCGCAGTCCTGCTCCTCTCTGGGCAGGTGCACAGCATTAAAAAGTTAGTGCGCAGAAGGATTTTTTATTGTGCGCGGTCGCACACATGTGCAGCTTAGAGGAAACCTTGGTACGGAAGGCTGGGGCCAGCACTGGACTGGCCCCAGCAGCCTTACCTGGGGTCCCGGGGTCTTCCTGGGGCTGCAGCAGTTGCAATTCTGCTGTGCAGAGCCTGGCCAGCAGCCAAATCATGGCTCTCAGCAACCCAGCTCCCCTTTTGAGCAGTGCAAGCTTCCCTTGTGTGCGCTGCTTCGCTGTCTTTTTCCACAGGGTTTTTTGCCCCCTGGATATCCAGGGGGCAAAAAAACCCATGGAAATAAAAAGCAGAGCAGCACATGTATGGGCAGCATGCCGTTGCAGCACAGAGAACATCTAAATGTGCAGTATGTGGCACTGCAGATGTTTGTTTGCAGTGCCACATACTGCACAGCTGCACTCATCTGGACATGGCTAAGATGGCTATAAATAAGCTTAAAAGTAGCCATGTACTGAAGATGTATGGAAGTTGCATCTCCGACCAGCTTTCTATGATTCTTACTTGAAATATAAAAGTAAGAACATTTGAATTAGTGTCTCTCACTTTTAAAACTTTTGGTATGACCATGAAACACCTGTGTGCATGGGGAATAATGCAGACATGGTCATGAAGATGATCACTGAGTATCATACGTGTTGATTTTCTGCTAAATTTCCATTGCCCATACTGCATTAAGTAGCAGCTCTCTCAACTGCCACTGGATTTTATCCATGGAGGATGTGTAAATATAGATAATGTGACCTTCAGCTCTTCTAGCTTCAGAGAACTTGGCCTAGAAAAGGGAACCCTGGGTATGCAGTTTCATTAATTACAATCAACCCAGGTTGCCTATAACATCAGTAGAAAGAACAAAGTCTATGCAGTGTCCTAAACCAGCTATTAAGTAATCTGTTTCCAATGCTTAGGAAACAGTAGCAGGTTGGATTTGATTTAACAAGGGATGTTAAGCAACATCTCTTGTTCCGAATCCTTTAGCAAGGACAATCCACAGCTCTGGCACTGTAGACCATGGCTGCATAGTTTACTGAGAAAAGCATGACGATAAGCACTGAATGCATCTTGCCCACTCAACCTCCCCATTTGAACAGCATTTTGTAAGGTCCTCCTGCTTTGAAAGGCAATGCTAGATTTATCTTTCTAAGATGAGACAAAAAAAGAAACATGTTAGTATTAACTGGTGGGTGCTACTGTTCTGTGGGCTGCATCTGGCACAACAGAAGGTGATGAAGCTTCCATCTGTTTCATTTATGTGAATTAAGTGTGGCCCATGGGTTCTTGTTCGTTTCTTAATTTGACCCTTAGCCGGGAATGTTAAAAGAAGGAGACGACGATGACTTCATAAAAATTCATTAAGAAAGTTTAGAGCATAGTCAAAGAATGATGCATTTTTTTCAATCTTTCTTATTGTTGCACTAACAAAATTTGCTGAAAGTACAGTACCTCATTTTGCCAAGGGATTGAAACACAACCAGTAACAAATCTGGAATAGAAGTCATCATCTGCAGTATCCAGGTTCACTCCTTTTACTGTGGAGAACTGTTCTATATCCAAGACATCCTTACAATACACTGCACGTGGCTGCAATATGAAACAAGAAGGTTTTTTTTTATTTTGGAAAAGAATAAGCATTTCTCAGGCTCCTGTTGTTGTATATCACTAATCGTTATCTGAATTTCAAAAAAGGATGCCACTAAACTGCCTGTATTAGATTATTATTGCCCAGATGGAGCTGTGAAACCTGTAGAGGGTCATAAAAAGAACATCTTATGGGTTGCATGCAGCCAGTTAAGAGCAGCAAAATTCACAGCCCCTAGGACCAAAGGGAGCCCTGAGAGAAAACAAAGCACAGCTTGCTCCCTTCCCTGCTTCTGAGACTGTAGCTGTTGATTCTTGCTGTTCCTCCCTATCACCCCCATTCCAGTGCAGCTTTAGACACAGAAAGCAGTGACTGGAGGAGCTGAGAAGTCAACCTTTTAGCCCCTTGAAGCAGTATCTCCTTTGCAAATTATTTTAAGATCTAGGGATGAAGTACCATCACAGCAGCCAAATATCATAATTAACCAACACTTAACTTGTATTCGCATTGTGGTGCCCATTTACCTTGTTTTATTATGCCTCTCTGGAGTTCCTCACCATCTCCAAGTCTTAACTAACAATATTTAGAGGTCAGTTATCTACAGATATTGCTACCTCCCTGTTTGCACATGTTTGAAGATAAAATCCATCTGCTATACCCTTCTCATATTCCAATGGGTGCTGATTGTTTGATGTGCAGGGGTGCATGTCAAGTCTTGTTTCAATACCAGACAAATGTGTCTCACCTACTTACATCTGGCAAAAAAGGTGGATCTAACATGTTTGCTTCCAGTCTCTTGAAGTTAATATCATTGAAAATGGGATGCTGTTTTACAGAAGCAGCTCCATCGACACCACAGCCCAATCTTTGCTTTGGATCCTTGGTAAATAACTGCACAGAAACAGGAACAATGTCTCTGAAGTTTTTATTTTATAAAGTGCCAAAATAAAAGTTTATTCTTACAGAGCATTTCAAGAGAAAAAGTATGAAGCTGACTTGGCTCTTTTGCCTTTGAAACATGAAATTTAATGCTGTAAGCAAAATGAACAGGAAATCTAGCCTACAACAGCCATTTCAAAGCATAGAAATAATTTCATGAATTTAATTATAAAGCACTTATAAAAACAGAACACAATAGATTTTAGTAACTGAAGCTTTTACCAAAGATATTTAATGTGGCAAATCATAAAGTATATGCTTATCTTTATGAACTTCATAACACTGACTTCCATTAAATACAGATCAACTAACTCTAGCATAGGTGATTTTGTAGATAAATGACAATAGAATAATGGAAAAATATTTTTTGGTAAAGTTTCCTTCTGCTGCTGTGTAGGTCTGTGTTACCAAATTAAAGTAGATTTTATTTCAAGCAATCAGGAGCTTAATTCTTTAACCTTGCATGGACTGTTTTTTGCACATGAGAAGTTCTATTTCCTTTCCATATTAAATTTCAGGATTTTGAATTGAATAGGCTTAACCATGCTCCATGCATTTAGTACATATTGTGTGTACTCTAGCTTAAGTATACAAACAACTCCACTTGCAAAGTACACTATTCCTCACCAGACAATGCACAAATGCTTTTTTCGGAGTTCTAAATTCTTAAGTTTGACAACAGCATAGAATTATTTATATAACAAATTTGTTGGAATCAGAAAGACACCTACATCAGCCATCTAGAGCCAGGTCACTTGACTTCTGAAATACTTCTGAGGGGGAAAAAAAAAAGACTAAAATTTAAAATGTCAGTTTTTTTAAGTGTTAGAAATTTAATTTCCAAACCTCTATGTCTCTTCACCCACCATCCTGCAGATAGATTTTGCCTCCTCTGAAAACTTGTCTGAATACACCTCCTGCTCTTCTTTTACTCTTCGTTCTATCTCCTCCCGTTTGATTTTTTCCTTGCGCTTCCTGAATGGAGATTGTCCTTCAATCATTTCATAAATTAGGCAGCCAAGACCCCACCAATCAGGACTGAATGTATAGCTTTGATTGTTGATGACTTCTGGAGCTATGAGAAGAATAAAAAAAAAAAAAAAGAGATTCAGATATATTGTTTTTGAACTGTAAAACAAATCTAAACTACAGTTGCAGTTTATCTGAACAGATGGTATAGTAAGAAGTATGGGATGCCCTTTAAACTCAAAGATTATGCTCAGAGGAAGCATTTGTCCCTTGACTGAGGACTCTTTTGCTCTTTATATTTCCCACTAGTGAGTCCCAATTGCCTTTTTCCCTAGATCAGCATTATCCTTAATCACCTACCCTCCCCGCCTTTCTTTTTAAAAATCGAGGATAAAAATATTCAAAAGTGCCTAACTAGCCACTGACTTCCACACTTCTACCTTAAGTCTCAGTGAACCTCAGGGGAAGTGAGATGATTTTGAACATTTTACCCAGAATTATTAAATCATAAAGGTAAATTTAAATTGAATTTAGTAAATTTATCAGAAAAGTTATTATTTTATTAACATCTTCCCACATACTGGATCTTTTCTTTATGCTCTACAATCAAGTTGGAAACAACATAGCTCTGTATGATATAGTCTTCCATACTTCTTCAAATATAATGTAGCTCACTGATACGGTACTACTTAGCTGAATGCATTTTACATACCCATGTATCCAACAGTTCCAACTCGCCCTTTGACTGTTTCTCCTTCTGGGATTTGTACTGCTAATCCAAGGTCTGAAATTCTGATGTGTCCTGTTTCAATTAAAATGAATTACGCAAATTCAGCAAGGAATACAAGTACATTCACTTTTAAAAATACTGAATTTCAAGATTTACTACAATTTTTTAATTTTACCAAAACACACTATGAGTTGTTTTCCTCCCTTTCTCTGTGTTAGAGAGAAGCAAGACATGGCACAGAGAATGATCTGCATTTGAGATGATGGGAAACCTGTGGCTCAGTTTACAATAGAATACTCTGCTATGAAGGTGAACCTTAGTCAGAGTGACACATTTCCATTTCAACCCTTTCACAGATTTAGCAGCTACAGAAATAACAGGTTAGTATTGCATATTTACATCTTTCATATCACTCGTTCAAGCTCTTGACTTGTGTCAAACTTGCATGTCTTGCTAGATTTCATTATTTAGGTGAGAAAACAGAAGTCTGTGTACAGTAAGGAAGTCAGGCACCATGGGACAGACTCAAGTGCTGAACTGATTTAAAATGAAATGGTTTCAGTTCAAACCAAAATGTTTTTATTTATGCAGAATTTACACAAAAACATTTTTTCCCCCAACAGAAATATCAAAATTAAACACAGACAAAAGGAAAAAAAAAAAAAAACAAAATAAAACACACAAAAAGGGAAAAAAAAAAAAAAACAAAATAAAACACACAAAAAGGGAAAAAAAAAAAAAAACAAAATAAAACACACAAAAAGGGAAAAAAAAAAAAAAAAAAATCAATGCTTTCCTTTGGAAGGTATAGGGAAAAAGTGTCAGAGAAAAAGGAAGTTGATAGAAAATTCATAACCAATTCTAGTAATAAGAAGCAGAAGATGACATTTTAATATGGTATTTTGAGGCACAGTCTTCACATGTTAGCCTTCTTGTTCTAGGAGTTATACTATCTCATTGCTGGTTTCTAGGCAGGACCACAGTATAAACATTAAAATAATAATTTTTCATGTTGTTCAGAACCAACTACTAAAAAGTAATATCAAACACAAGCCAGCATATGAATAGAAGTAGCCTAGACACAATCAAGAATTTCACAGAAACCCTTTGAAAAAATGAAGGATAACATTTTTGCGCATGCAACATGTCCTGAAGTATAGAATGCGCTTTGCTTTTAAAGTCAGAATGAAGGACAGACCCTAACCTTCAGCTCACCTACCCTCCCTTCCCTGCTTACCTAAGCTGAAACCCTACCTGTTACCAAAGACTGGTTTCCATGGGTGGATCTATGATTCTGAGAAAAGCTTAAGAGTCTCCAGAGCTATGAAACCAGAGATCTGGAGGTAGCAGACAGCAAAACTGCCCTAAGAAAGGTTAGCTTAATTAATGGAACATGAAAACCATTAAGAAAGGAGAAAAGTTAGTTAACACTTCTGGAGTAAAGAATAATGAGCCATTATGTCAAGTGACTCCCTCAGCTGCCTGAATAGTAATACAACACCTGCTGCAGTGTGGAGCAGGAATCAAAGCAGAGTACTCCTATCCTGATCAGAAAAATCATCTTCCCTGCTTAATATACACACCTCAATTTGGTGGCAGGGGGAAGGTGTTGTATGCAAGCAAATATGGTAATAAAGAAGAAGACTAAGCATTAATGAAGAGCTGGAAATGGCCTTTTTGTCTCTCTCATGGACTCCTAATTTTCTATTCAATATTAAGTATAAAAAGAAAAAGGTTTTTCAAGTAGCAACCTAATCAGAACGAGTTTGTTACTAAATCAGAGTGAAAGATCTTTGCTCATCATTGCTGCTTCAAGACTGCAAGCTAATGAATCTTGAAAAACAAAATCACAATATATATATTTTTATTCCTCAAGATCTCTCATTAATCAAGCATTCTAAAAGGAACTCAGAAATACCAAAGTTTCTGCAAAACATATCAGTGGATTCATCACAGGCAATTATCCGCAGTCAAGGACGATCGTCTTATCTGTGGGTCCAAAGAGAGATGACAAGACCTATCTAGGATATGTGCAGCTTGGGCATATATTTCCATGTGGAGTAGGTGGCTCTGGGTTCTTGGTTTGGTCCATGACACGCTGTTCCAACTTTTCCATCTCCTGTTATTGCTGTAAGTTTTCTAAGTACTGAGATCCTTGCAACAGACTCTTCCTCCATTTATGGTGGTCCTGGGCAATAGTCTCCCACAACTTGATGTTGATGCTACATTTTTTCAAGTTGGCCTTGAGGATGTCCTTGAAGTATTTTCTCTGCTATCTCTGAGTATGCCTTGACTGATCTGGGAGAATAATATTGGCTTCAGGAGTCTGGAGTCACACATCTGGATGACATGGCTGGCCCAGTAAAGTTGATGTTGGATGATCATCACCTCAATACTTGTGGTGTTTGCTTGCGAGAGGATGATGATGTTGGTATGGGTGTCTACCCACTGGATCCGAAGGGCATAGGCAGCTTTGATGGTACTTCTGCAGCAACTTGGTGTTTTCTGTATGTTACAGTAAGGTAGGGATCATGACTGCTTGATAAAATATCAGCTTGGTTTCATACCTTTGAACACCTGTTTGCTCAAGCATCTGAAGCCTGCACTTGCACATTTGAAGCAATGCTGGATTTCTTTGATGTCAACCTTCTGCAAAAGATGACTTTCAAGGTATGGGAAACACTCAATGTTCTCTAGAGTTTCACTGTGAATCTGAATTACCAGAGCTGAGGACTGCTCATTAAGAGTTTTTTGATAGAGGAACTCAGTTTTCTGAATGTTAAACGTTAGTCCATTTTCTCATATGCCTCAGTGAAGATGCCAATGATTGCCTGAAGGTCTGTTTTCAAGTGAGTATACACTACAACCATCATCAGCATATTGGAACTGAATGAGTGAGGTCATGATGGTCTTGGTTTTGGCTCAGAGTCAGCTGAGATTAAACAACTTACCATCCATTTGGTAGTTTAGCTCCACTCTGACTGCAAGCTTGTTGCGGGTCAGATGTAGTATCACAGTAAGAAATCAACGAGTGTTGAATTGATGACCAATTTTCTGCTTCCCATGGAAAAACAGAGAAAACCACAGATTTTCCCCTTTACTAGACGCAAATGTGGATTTCTCATTTTAATGAAGAAACCCATGGATTTTGCAAAGAGCTCTCTGCAGGCTAGCAGGGTTCCAGCCTGCAAGAGGCTGGGAGGCAGTGGGAGGGCAGTCAGGCGGGGGGGGGCATGTGCACGTATATGCCCTTGTTCAGGGTTGGGGGAGATCTGGGAGCAGGAACACTTATTCTGCTTCCATGCAACACACCTGATGCATTGTAGTGAAGGGGTAGGGAACACGTGGTTCTGCTAGACCCAAACTACT